GAGTTGCAGAGTTACAGTTACTAGCTAAACTAACTAGCTAAAGTAACTAGCTAAAGTAACGAGTTACCAGGGAAGTCTTATCCACAGCACACTTACATTTATATCTTAAAATCATTCATTATTCATTTTACACAATCCAAGTCAAATATCATATTCCATCTTTACGTCCTCCACCATATCAATTTCTTTCCTTTAAAAAAAAAAGTGAGCTTGTATTAGCTGTGCAGAGGAGGGCTTCATTGTGACATGCCCATGCACTCTTGCAGGGGTCCTGATCACCCCTCCATTCCTCCCCCCTCCCCTCTCCCTTCTCCCCTCTTCCCTTCTCCCATCTTCCCTTCCCCCTTTCCCTCCCTCCTCCAGGCAGTTCCAGCAGGTCTCATTGCTTTGTTTTCAAACACTGGGATAAACTACATTGACCCCATCCATCTTCACTCTCCCTCCACTGTTCCCCCTCCCCCTTTCCCTCGCTTCCCTGCCATTCTTTTGTAATGTATTAATCTGTATTAATCGCACCAAGGTGTTCCAGCAAGGTGTTCAGGCATGCAGGTATTTCATTTGGCTTAGAATAGCCCTCTCTCTTACTGCTTTTTCTTGCTCTCCCTCTTTTTATTTATTTTTTTAAGGTCCATATTCCTCATGTGAGAGAACATAAAATACTTTTCCCAGGCTTGTTTCAACGAACACGACAGTTTTAGGTTCTATCCATTTTCTTGCAGATGACATTTCTCCATGACTGAGTAATGCTCCCTTATAAGTATGTGTACAGGGCGAGGAACTTGGCTTAGTGGTAGGGTGCTTGGCTAGCATGCATGAAGCCCTGGGTTCAATTCCTCAAGCGGCACTGTAGCTCAAGTGGTAGAGTGCTAGCTGGAGCAAAAAAGCTGAGGGACAGTGCCCAGGCCCTGAGTTCAAGCCCCAGGACTGGCACAAAAGAAAAAGAACCCTATTTGTATATACCTATATGTGTATATACACATGTGCACATATGTGTATTCTACACCCTCCTGTGTGCATATATTGTCTACGCACATGTGTACACACACATGTATCCCGTGTTCTTTATCCTAACCCCTAGCCTAATTCCATGGTTCACCACCTGCACATGGTGGTCACCTCTTATCTTCTGCTTGGCTGTGTCTAGTGGAGTGGGGGGCTCAGACCTTCTGCACCCCAGCCTCCCTCGGCCATCAGAGCCTTGGTGGGGCCCGTGACCCTCCACCTGCAGCTTGGAGAAGGCTGGTCCACCCCTTTGCATCTCAGCAGCTGCTGCCCTCCAGTGGGAATCTCAGGTCTCTTCCTCGGAGAGAGAGAGACAGAGACAGAGAGTGTGTGTCCTGGGGCATGAACTCAGTCTCTGGACACTGTCTGTTGGCTTTTTGGCTTGAGGTTGGTGCTCTATCACTTGAGCCACAGCTCCACATCCAGCTTCTTGCTGAAACAGAGTCCTCAGGCTGTGTCTTAACTGCTCACGCATTATGAGTGGGAGTCAGTGAGCTACGTTCATCTCACTGTGCCTTTGAGGCTGATGCCGCCCCCTTTCTGTTCTGCTTTTCTCCCCTCTCAACTGAGAGGCGGCACTGGACAGGAGGCGGTTGGGTGATACCCAGGGGTCAGAGATACCACATTTTCCTGCAAAGCCCGGATGATAATCTCCCCCCCTTCCCCCCCCACCCCAGCCTTTGACTGCTCTGCCAGGCTCCCAGCCAGCAGGGAAGCTGGCAGCGCTCCAACTGATGGTGAATTTGATAGCCCAACTTTTTGCCAGGGGCCAAATGTGTCACCTGAGATCGGGGTGTCAGTCTCCTGGCACAAATGTGACACCTGTTGCAGGGGGCGGGGCCTGGCTTCTGGTGCCTGTGGTGGGAGGGAGGGAGGGGCTGGCCGATTCCCCCAGGGCAAGCCGCCAGGGTCAGTGGTTAAGCCTGCTCGTTCTTTAGCTCCGGGATGATGACAGTCTGAGGATCCTCTGACAGGATTCACACAGAGGCCAAGACTGGATGGTGAGACCCAGACACACAGCACCCTGCATCAGTCAGTACTTTGCAGGAACTTCCGAGCATGTGTCCGTCAAAGAGGAGATGTGGCTATTGGTATGCACCCCCTGGTTCTCTGCTCAGTAAGGGAGAGCTGCTGGCTCTTTGCACGTGTGTGCGCATGTACACACACATGTATGTGTGTGCCGGTGCTGGGACCTAAACTCGGGGCCTTGTGCCATCCCTGAGCTTTTCCCACTCAAAGCTGGCGCTCTGCCACTTGAGCCACACCTCTGCTTCTAGCTTTCCGGTGCTTCACTGGAGATAAGAGTCCCATGGCCTCTTGTCGGCCCAGGCTGTCTTTGAACTGGGATCCTCAGATCTCAGTCTCCAGAGTGGCTGAGGCCCGGCCCTTGTGAGTCTTTCTCCTCCCCCTTGAAGTCTGCAAGAAGGGTGCACTTGCCCATTGGGCTGCTGAAGGCCAAGCTGCAGATGGGACCTGTTCCCAGAGGCTGGAAACTTCCAGGCTGGCCTGGGCCGGGCCCAGTGGGAGGGCCTGGCTAGCTTTGACATGGCTGACTTTTCTCCCCATTATCTACCACCACCACCACCTCCATCACCACCATCACCACCTCCTCCACCACCTCCACCACCTCCTCCTCCACCTCCACCACCTCCTCCACCATTTCCTCCTCCTCCTCCTCCTCCTCCTCTTCCTCCTCCTCCTCCTCTTCCTCCTCTTCCTCCTCCTCCTCCTCTTCCTCTTCCTCCTCCTCCTCTTCTTCTGTCCTGATCACAGCACTCAGCCTTGCACACAGGTTAAAGGTGGAAGATGGCTGTACAGAGCTGAAGCTTAGTTCTGAACACGGCCAGGACAGCTAAGGATTCACAACCAGCCAGCAGAGGGACAGACGGACAGACAGCGGAGAGACAGCGACCATGAGGAGACATGTCAGGGAACACTGGCTGAACCGACTTAGCAGCATTCTTGTTAAAACAAAAACTGAGCTAGGCCCGCCCAGGGCAGGGCCCCAGCCTGGAGTTAGGGGACAAGCGAGGCCCCAGAGAGAGCCTGCCCCTTCCTGTGGCTCATTGACCGTGCGCGGGTCACCTCTCAGAAAGCGTGCCTTGTGACACTTGCCAGCCCCGTGGTGGGCAGATAGCGTTTCTCTTTGCTTCCCAAGATAACAGTGTTTGGTCCTAAGAGCAAAGCCAAGGTGCAGAACGGGGCGGGGGGGGCTGCTGGCCCTTCTTCCTTCATGCCTGAACCCCAGAGGACAGGTGTCCCTCCCTGACCCCCGACAGAGGCTGGGAATGGACGGCTTTCCCTTGAGTGCTGGATTCCTCACCGCACAGGGGCAGCGGAGAATGGGGTCGCAGGAAGCTGGCTGCGATCAACGCCGTGTGGTCTAATCTGGGGGGAGTGGGAAGGATCCAGCTCTGACGCTGCACAGCAAGTCGTGTTCTGGGCCTTTGAACTCTGAGCTGCTCGCTCCCCGTCTGTAAAATAGGAGGCATCAGACTGGATCAATCCCATGCGGTGCTTTTCCTGTATTCTTTCTTTTGGTAGTTACTGGGGCGAGAATTCTACTCAGGGCCTTGGCTTGCTCGGCCACTTGGGCCTTGTTTCTAACCCCTTTTGCTTTAGTTATGTGTCTCAGGGAGGGGTGTTATTTACGTATTGATTGATGGATGCATGCGTGCATAAATGCCGTAGCTGGAAACTATAGGCTGAGATGCGATCTCACAAACTTTTTTTTTTTTTTTTGCCCTAGCTGGCCTAGAACCAGGATCCCTCTATCTCTGCGTCACACACAGGGCTGCGCACGACACTGCCCGTGGTTGAGATGGGGAACTCTCAAACTTTTCACCCTGGCCGGACCCCACCCAACTGTCCTGATCACCTGCTGAGTAGCCAGGATGGCAGGAGGGAGCCACTAGGCTGAGCCTGGCAAGCAGCTGCGATGGCGGCGCCTGGGAGATGCAGCCCGCACACCCCAGGGCAGTTCCCAACGCCCGTGGCTCCCGCCTGTCAGCCCAGCTACTCAGGAGGCTGAGATCTGAGGATCATGGTTCAAAGCCAGCCCAGGCAGGAAAGGCTGTGAGACTCCAATGAGCCACCAGAAAACTGGAAGTGGTGCTGTGGCTCACATGGTAGAGCGCCAGCCTTGAGCTGAAGAGCTGAGGGACAGCGTCCAGGCCCTGAGTTCAAGCCCCATGACTGACAAAAAAAAAGAAAGCACCTCTTCCCCCACCCTGCCCCACTCCTGCATTCCAGAACATGGCGCTCTCTAGCTTGCACGCTCTCTCTCTCTCCCCCTCCCCCTCCC